ATTCCTTCGCAACAGGCTTCCTGGTTGCCTTCACGTATACACAGGCTTCACAGAAGGTTGGCTCATCTTTCAACAAGTTGAACTTCAAACCTGATACAAGTCCCTTTTCAGCTAGGTGATGAGCGACGGATGGAGAAATGTGTCCCATCCTACGGTGAAGTTCCATCACAGTTATTGATTCAGCTGCTGTGTTTGCACTGTCGCGATCATTGTTGTGGACGACACGATAGAGCCCAGCTTTAGACTTAGGGATGCGACCAACAACATCATCAGCAGGGTTCCTGATGGTACAGGTACCTTCAGCGAAGGTGACAGAGTAGCCTAGCTGGTCAAGGCGGCCGACAGACACGAGGGTGTATCCAACCTCGGGTGAGTATAGTACTTCGGTGAGTCGCAGTTTAGTTACATCATACCCGTTCAGCACCTCTATGACTAACTCCCCCATAGCAGTAGCATCGAAGAGTTGTTTGTTGGCAGCCGAGAATGACTTGGGTGGTATCGTCACCAACATCTCGAACTTCTCCTTGTAAGGGGAGATGTGTCAAGTGGATCTGGAATCGTAGAGTTCAATGACAGGCGTACCGATGGGGCTGTCATTTACAAGGTTCGCAAACTCTGGGGAGGTGTTAGTGGGCTCAACGTGATTTGAAGCATCGCTGTGGGGTGAGTGCTCGTCATCCACATCCCCCATCTCGCTGAACCAGTCTTCATTGGTGGTGATGAAGCAGCGTCGATCAACATCATCATCATCTGACGATACACTCAGCAAGTCAGGGAGCGAACCCTCATCGTCGAATTCATCCAGGGCATGCACCGAGAAGGCACCCTCTTCATCAGAATCAAGCGTTACAGCATGCACAGATCCCTTGGTGGCAGCAGGTAAGCTTTCTTTCTTTGTTTTGTCAAGATCAGGGCATTGAGATTTGTAGTGTTCCCTCGACCCACAGTTCCAGCAGGGGCCTTGCTGGTGAGCATGCCCTCTGGAGCTACCCCCTTGACTACCATTTCTTCCATTTCCTCTCCCCCTTCCAAAAGAATTTCTGGGGGTCAATGACATGGCTTCTTCGCCATTGTGATTCTTGGCTTTGGATCGCATGTGCCGAGTCTCTTTGCAACTTCTGCACTCAGACTCTTTGATGATCAAGGAGATGAGAATGTCAGGGTCGATAGTTTGTGTCGGGCTGTACAGGTGTGCAGTTGCTAGCTGTCCAGATGCAAAGCTGGTGAGGTACTTAGGCAGCGATTGGATGATGGTTGAGCAGTAATCCTTTTCTTCGATCTGTACACCGATGGCAGCTAACTCATCTCTCTTTGTATGCAGATCGTCCAAGAACTGGCGGACGTCACCGTCAACAGGGCACTGCAAGTTTAGAAACTTCGTGCAAAGGTTGGTCTGTGCGTAAGCACCCTTCTCCATGTATTCACGAACGATTTCATTCCACATAGCTGCAATGCTGTTAAGGCTACGCACCCGGAGTGCAGTGGAATCAGGGATCCATTGGGTAAGTAAGTGTTTCGCCATATTTTCACTTTTTTGCCACTTAGTGAGTTCATCAGTGTCAGGAGGGACTACGGTTATGAATCCATCCTGATCGGTGGAGGTCGTGCCGACAGGGCAAGGAGAGGTGCCATCGAAATGGGACCACAATTCCTTAGCTTCGACAGTGGTCTGGAAGCGAAGGGAGAAGATCGCCCAGTTCGTGCCTTTGATGTCAAGTTTTGGGACATTGCCCGGGAGCGTGTCGGTGGTGACAGGGATGGCAGTAGTCATTTTGTGGGGGGGGGGACGAGGGTCGGTTGGCAGCGAGAATATCGAAAACAATGGTGAGACGTCATATAGGCTATTAGAGCTCAGGGCTCATAACCTCACAGAAATCTATAGCAAGATCTCAGTCGAGTGCGTGAGCGGCAAACATCTATATTCACATTACCTATAGCAAGATCTAAGGTAATGACGTGAGCACGAAGTACACGAACATGGGAACAAGACACTATACCCACCTCAGTCGAGTGCGCAAGCGGCAAATGTCTGAGGTGGTGTTACTACAGTAATGAGTTAAATATGCTATACGAAACAAAAGGGTGAGACACAGGTGTTGAACCTGGTATTGAAACTACAAGCACAGTCATAGTGTGAGTGCTTGTACCGTTAATTATACATATGAAACATTTGGAGACAATAAACCAAAAATTACCGCGCTGTATTGTCAGCGCTCGAAACAACTAAGTACAGTGGTCTTGTAGACCCGTAAACGGGAAGTGTTTCCCATGGTAAGGAAAAGTAGTGTCAATTAGTGAACAAAGGCTATGAGCGACTTGCCAAATCTAACACCAAACCCTCCCAACCAGTCAACAAGTATGTAAACATCAGCTGGAAATCGCAAGCAAACAAGCAGTTCTGTGATATGGAGCCTTTGCAGTTTTGGTACACCACCTGGTCCTCTGATGCCAGAGCAGCATGGATATGGCTCCTGTCCAATGCACCAATTGCATCCTTGAAATACAGCCAAAATCTTTTATCTCCCCTAATCTTTGGCTGAATATCATTGGCACCAGGCATCTTGACATATGTGGAATAGAAGGGTGATGATGATAGGATGAAGAGTATCTTGTGAAAGTACCTGATCAAGGAGGTTAGAAAAGTATTGGAAAACTAAGGGTGATGACATACTGAGATATGGTCTCATTTGACCATTGAAAACATTCACCAATGTGCCTGATAGTCAGACCTGTCACACTCATATAGAGGAAAATAGCTAGTTGTTCTTCAAGTGAAACAAATTGAGAGTTGCCATGACCAATCTGGCAAAGCTCCTCCACAAGTCATGCAAAGACATCAGTGTGAACACCAAGTTCACATCAGATTCGTTCTGGATGACCTGCAAGGAGCTTGATAAGCCATTCCTCACCAGTTAGTGCTAACATGTGGTAAGGCTCTGGAATCCTTCGGATTGGCATAGATTGCACTTCAGTACGACTGATCATGCAGAGGATGATATTGACGACAAGAGCAATATGGTGCAGCAAGCATTGGCAGTGAATCTCCTCATGATCACCACCAATATCGACATTGTCCATCTCACATACAGGAGGAAATGTTTCAAACTCAATTCAAACTCACTACGTGAACTGCCCCAGTGGAAAAACATGTACAAGCATTGAAGGAACTAATTGCGACTTACCTGAGGTTTCCGAACTAGCTCTTACTGAAGCAGAAGCTGGAAACTTGGACTTCGCATTCGCGCGGGCGTGCACAGCTTATATAAACATCACGTGACTACTTTGCCGAAGTCGAAGTCGAAGTCGAAAACTTCGAACTTCGACTTCGGAGGGTGAACGGCGCTAATAAGACAAGTCTCCTTTCCCGACACTGCATGCTAGGGGGTTTCCAAGAGAGGCAGAGCGTTCAGGGGGAGCAGCCGCATACCTCTGGGCCGGAACGGAACTCGCGTTTGGCATATCTGTGTACCCATGACGTGCCAAGAAGGCGAACTACTGATCCGCCAGATGACCGCAAACAATCGACTCGGAACGATGCTCCATGCATGGTTGCCATAACAGCGCTGTGTCAAGGTGGTCGCGTGTCGTGGCCCTGCAAAACGAAGATGTCATGCTTGTCTTGTGTCAGTGGTCTGGAAATACAGAAGAACACAAGACGTTCACTCTTCACTTCATTACACATTCGTGCTCTCTCCACTGCCCCACATGCAGGCTCCTCGCTGCAGAAACTATCGCGCTCCAACCACTGACAATCGCCACCCTGCAGCTGGCATACCTCCAACGCACGGCGAATGCTATTCTGATACCTCACTTTCGGCGACACTCAAGGACCCCAATGGAGGCGGCATTCAAGCGTCGTGTACTTTAAGCCCAGCGTGGATATCCTTTGACCGGCATTGCACCTCCATGCGACGACCCTTGGAACAACTCAGGTTCAACGGAAACGTTGTGCATGACTCGCTTCTAATTGGTTTCTGTAGGTTGCTAAGGCGTGTGTTGACTCCATGAAGCTTTGATATTTGGTGTGGCAACTTTGCTAATTGACATCGAAGCATGCACAGTACCGCACCGTCACGCGTAACGAACGAACGCGGCAAGTTTAGACGGAGAGAATGCGACGCATCGACGTTCCCAGCTTGACTTGTCTTCATGGCTGAGCTCGACACTCGCAAACAGGAGCGACGGCATTTGTCCACTATGCAGGGACATGAAAGGCTGCGAACATTGGAAACGAATTCAGCTAATTATCGGACGCCGCATTGCGATCCTAAGGGACCCGGTTCACTTCAAACTTGACTTGGTCACCTCAGAATTTCTTTCTGAGTTGTCCATCATTTTGGCCCTTGCCCCAGGGCGTGCTAGAATGGCAGGTAAATCTGGAACACCCTACCCTCGCCCCGGCTGCCAAGATTTAAATATGATGATCGAGGAACGATACGAACTTTCTACCACAGACCTGATGCGCCCACAGTTTTCGGGGTACGTCTTGACATATCGCGCAGTGACACCTGATATTGTCGACTTTTCAAGATTCGTCTACGACAATTGCTGATTTTTCTCCTCTTAGGTCTACTTGCCCACCGACCAGCTCCATTTACGGCACACCGATCATCCCGACCCAAGGACCTCGTGACAGCAACTAGTCCCTCATTCTTGTCTGTTATGAAATAACTGCACCGCTTTCGGTAGTTGATCCGCTGCAAGCAAGGCCACCAGCCGACAACCGGCAACGATCGAGCTGAGTGGTAGTTCCCCGTCCATCCTTCGATGGAAATATCGCTCAATGAAAACATGCACAAGCAGTTCCGTAATATCACCGCAATGTGCAGTCGACTCCCTTAGCAGATTTAACGCCATCTGTTACACCGTAAACAGCAGACGAAAGCACAGATGAAACATACACCATCTGGGACTTCTAACTTTGTACCTAAATTCTGCCTCGTGGACTACAGCTCGGTTAGGGCCGGCTGAATCGGCTCTGGAAGTTGACAACGCTGTACCGCTGGTTTCGAGTGTTGCCTCGTGTTAATCGTGCTGTCCACTTGCCTCGTTCCAGATTCACACCCTGTTGGTGGTGGTGTCTGTGTCACAGGCCCAATCGCCGATCTGGCCTTTGCAAGACCCCCTTACGCCGCCCCTGTTCAATTCTTCATATGATTGCCCCGGAGTCAAATGGCTTATGAGAGGGCCGCGAGGTTGCCGTGTGCGTGCTCGAAGTCCGCAGTGGGCTTTAAAAGCCATGCATTCTTCAGGGTGTTAGCAAGCATTCCGTTTTCCGTCCAACCGACTACGCTACAATCGTCGTTTCCCGTGCTCCCTTCCTGTCTCCTTCTGAAGTCATCTGAAAACTGAAGAGATGCTCGAAGCTTTCAAGATCAAAGAGTTCGATCTTAGCCCAATCTACGAAGGATGGAAGAACCCTCCCATGTTCTACGGAGATTCCAAGCGGGACATGTCCGTAGACGACTGGCTCGAGAAAATTAGAGCTGGTTGTGTCGAACGCAAGGTGCCAGAGGAGTACTGGCATAAGGTTGCCCAGCACTACCTCGGCGACAAAGCCAAAGCGCGTTTGGTAGAGTTGAAGAATGTCATGGCTCAGATGAACGGAGGCAAGTACCGTTGGAGTTGGAAGAAATTTAAGATTGCAATGAAGAATATGGGTTGTAAGTTGTTCGCTTTCTTTGGTCAGACGTCGTTTTGGGCATCACTAACGCCGATCGTCCTGTATTAGGGGAAATCGATATGCATGCAACGACCCCTGTGGAGGTCCAGCAGAAATCCTCCCATCTTGGAACTTTCTGGCTGACTCGTCGGCGATCCTCCTCCAAGAGTAGCACTCGCTCGACGTCGTCAGCATCTTCGAAAGAGAAGGAGGTTATCGAGATTGTTAGAGCCGACCCTCCTCAACCTCCTCCAAAAGATCGACCAAACCCGGTTAAGATGCTCTCCGAAACCGCGGTAAATGTTGCTACCTCTGCATTCAAGCACCGCTCACCGCAGCGTGCGAACACGACGGGTCCTGCAGTTGCCACTGCTCCGTCGTCATCATCCCCACCTCTTTCAATGATAGCAACCACTCCAGGAGCCATCGTTCCTGGAAACAATGGTGAAACCAACAATGGTAAGCGTTAATCATGCCCGGTTTGAACCTGATTCTAATCGGAGTGTAGCAGTAACTACTGTATCCAACGTTCCGACGTGGCTGCTGAACGCTTGCCAAGCGCTCAATTTCCTCACTGCCGAACATCCCAAAGCGATGACAACGCTAAGTGCGGTCCTTATTACCGCAGGAACGTTGCCTGCCATCCCTGCAATAAGCGGAGGTACAGTCTTAGCCTCTGGAGTTGCCCAAGCTGTCGGGGCAATTGCGGTAGGAGTTGGGAACCTCCTCAAAGCACAGCATGAAGGACAAATTCAAATGTCTGGGCAGCCCGACGGTGTTGCTCCGGCACCTCGCCCACCGATACGAGCAGCTACGTTCATGTGAACGTTCTCACGTTCCATTGTTTTCGGCCTCTCCGTTCTGCTGGCCGACAGCGTTAACCAGTGAACGTTCACTCGGATGGTCGCGCTGGTCCGTGGTCTTACAGCACCGATCCGGACTCTCGTTAATCGAGACGTTATATTATTGCTGGCGAACTTCGCTTCCTCCTCTAAAGACATATGCATTCGCCGTACCTTTGCACATTCACTTTACGCCTGTACACGCAGATACCAATTTTACCTAGCAAAACAGAGCAGCAAGAAAAGCATTAAGAGTCTATGACACGTGCATCGCTTTCCTGTATTGTCTGTATAACATACACGTACAAAGACCCTGACCCTGTACTCTGTAAGTGGCTAACTTGGCTCCACAGGCAGAGCGAGTCCGTCAAGTAAGAATTATGAGCGAGACCCTGATCGATGGAACTGAAATGAGAACAACCCACCCCAGGACGCCTTCGGCGTGTGACGGCCGGCGACGAATGGATGCCACATCCCATTTCAGTCCAAGTCTAGATTGCTAGTGCTCGCAGCATCGACAGCGGAAAATGCAATAGGAATGCCCACGGTAGTAAGGGCGAGAGAGCTATTTCTGCTGCAAAGTGGTGCCGACACATGAAACAGCTTTGCTTACGCATGAAAGCCTAGATTTCGGAGTGGAAACCCTCTTGGTACAGTAAGCTCTATTAGATCCGAATGATGGTGGCCGAGCATGGGAGTAAATCGCAGGGACAAGTGGTCACATTGGCCTTGGATCTTCTTACACGCCCTGACTAGTATTCGCAACGCCGAGGACACCAGGGTACCCCAAGAACATTTTTCGATAAATAGAATGGTATGACGTCGTGACCCATAGGTCACGATGTTGAAGTGGGGTACAATGCGCATGTACACACGAAAATATACACACTGCGAGCCCCTATGATATTATATTATGCGTTGACACCCACCACGCAAGTTGGTTCGAAACGACAGGAGACGACGCGCGAAAGGTTGCCAGGTAAGGTTGCGGAACTGCCAGCGATATGAAGGCGGAGATGAGAGAAACTTGGCACTGTGAAGGGAATTATGAATACCTGGCCTGTGCTGTACGTTACCCTCGCGACGTCCCGCTGCATAGTTGCTTTCATGGAATTCGAGAGCGTCCGAAAAGATATGGGAGCGTTCTGAATGAGGCTTCTAGCTGCCGTGGAATATCCAATACGATACCAAGGTTCTTCTTGTTGTGACTGCGCAGAGGTTCTGGTCATCAGGCAAACGGTATGTTACGACGCAGCTGAAACAGAAGTTTCAGAGAATGTTTGCGGCCACAAGACAACCAACCAGTGCAGCCGGAAGCCTCGGAGTGCTTCGAGACGCCCTGAATGCAGAGCATCCAGTTTGAGTCCGGAAGGGTTCAGAGTTGAATTCTTGCTGTGTGATCGTCAGTGAAATGGTGTAGGGACTCAATTTCGAATCGAAGAATTCGGCCGAATGAAAGCACCCAACACAAGGTGAGACGGTTGTCTAGGACTCGGCTAGCGAGACCCACCACTGATGATCTGGTCCGATTACTGGCTGTAATACTAACCCACATCGTTCTATCGATTATCGGTCACGGAGACGCTGTCAAACCGGAGTCTTTTTTGGGGCTACTTGTCGGAACGGGAGACCTTTCGTTTTTTCCAGTTAGCTTCACTCAAAATTCGGCCGGGAACGGCTCTTGAAGCTTGACGAGTTACCCGAGTGCTTGCAGACACTTGCTTCGCGGCCAAATCGACCAACTGGCAGATACAATGGACGCCCTTGAGACGTACCAAACCCCTTTATCGAGGTTAGCTTTCATTCGTCAAGGTCCATCCCCGATAACTCCACCGCGGTAAACTAGCCGATATGCCAGCAAGGACATGGCAAACCTCTTTTCTCCTGCAGTACGTATTTTTCCATTCGTACTTTCCATCCGATCATCTTACAGAATGTTTCTCTCAGAAACGTTCTCGGACATGGAGAGAGTTATGGCTAAACCTCGCTATCGCTGAGAAGCAGCTCGGACTACCGATCACCGACGAAGCTATCGAACAGATGAAAACAAATCTGGTATGTTCAATTGCAACCAAAGGGGCCATTCTTGCCACCACCCCCTTTTCGCACCGTATCAGGCGTGGGGTATAAGAGGGCAACCTCCATTAATTTGACCTTCTTAGGACCTGACCCCGGAGCAGTTTGACATTGCCGCTAAAGAGGAGAAGAAACGCCGCCACGATGTTATGGCACACGTCCATACGTTTGGTCAAGTTGCTCCTGCCGCAGCGGGAATCATTCAGTACGCTCCCTTCTTCACAACGCCACTCGCCACCATAATATGAAAACACGTTGTCTCTCTCTCTTTCACAGTTTAGGTGCTACATCCTGTTACGTGACCGAGTACGTCTTTAGACTAGTCTATCTACTCGTGTTCGGTTGCTGATATGTGGATGATGGGACGGAACAGCAATGCGGATTTGATATTCATCCGTACTGGCCTCACGTATCTCTTGAAATCGCTCGCCGTCCTGATATCCCGGCTGTCTGTATTCGCACAGGATAACAGAGCCCTCCCAACTCTCGGCTTTACCCATTTCCAGCCTGCGCAGCTGACCACTGTCGGAAAACGTGCGACCCTGTGGATTCAGGTAAGCTCCTGTGTTCACTTCCCTGTTCAACTCTCATGGGAAACGTAATCTTGCCTTGAAAACGATGATATAGGAGCTGCTCTGGGATCTCCGCAACATCAAAAGGGCACGTGATGACCTTGGCTTCCGCGGTGTAAAAGGCACGACCGGCACGCAGGCCAGTTTCCTGGCTTTGTTTGATGGCGACCATGACAAAGTGGAGGAGCTGGACAGACTGGTGACCAAGCTCTCCGGGTTCCCATATGCCTATCCTGTCACCGGCCAAACGTACTCGCGAAAGATAGATATCGATGTGCTGGCACCGTTAGCATCCTTGGGTGCCACTGCACACAAAATCGGGACAGATTTAAGACTGTTGGCGAATCTCAAGGTCGGAGCTTTCGTTCACCTGGCACGGGGAATCGAGTTTGTCTTTGGTTCTGATAAGGAATTTAGGAAGTCGAAGAACCGTTCGAGACCACGCAGATTGGGTCATCTGCCATGGCGTACAAGCGCAATCCCATGCGCTGTGAGCGTGTGTGCAGTTTATCAAGGCATCTGCAAGTGCTGCATCAAAATGCACTGATGACGTACAGCGTGCAATGGTTTGAACGGACGTTGGATGATAGGTAGTTCTCTCCTATCAGGCTAACAGGAGGGGGTCTAGGAAGGCTAATTCGTTTTCACAGTGCGAACCGTCGAGTGACATTGCCAGAGGCCTTTTTAACGGCAGACATTGTCCTCTCAACGTTGCGGAATGTCTCGGAAGGGTTAGTGGTATACCCCAACGTGATTGCACGACGGATTTCGCAAGAACTTCCGTTCATGGCAACGGAGAATGTGATCATGGCTATCGTCAAAAAGGGAGGTGACAGACAAGAGGCCCACGAAAAGATTAGAGTGAGTGGGGATGGTGCTGTCCGAGGCATTCGCTGACGATGCTATCCTGCATACGTAATTGATTTGGTGGTGTGGAACAGGTATTGTCCCATGAAGCTGCGCATCAAGTGAAGAACCTTGGACGTGAAAACGACCTGATCGAGCGCGTCAGAAGAGACCCATACTTCGATCCCATCAAGGATGAACTAGACCAGTTGCTAGATCCAACGACATTTATCGGCCGGGCGCCAGAACAGGTGGACAGGTTCCTCAAGGAGTGGGTTGGGCCGGCTCTTGCGGACGAGGAGCTGAAAGAAGCACTGGCAAAGACTGACAAGGTAGAGTTAAACGTCTAAAGGGGTGTAAATTACTGTCCAAGCGCACGTCGAACGTGCATGAAAAAAATTTGGTTCCATCTGGTATTGTATTTGCCGGTTACTGTAAATAACCCGTCTGCCGTTGGAAATTGCAAAAATATTGTCGGTCAGCAGAGGCCGTCCGCTAAATTGCTGGCCTTATGAACGACCTGGAGGCATACCAGCGACAGTATTAGAATCTTAGAGACTGTCGGAGACTTTTGGGTACGTTTGTTGGCATCAATTCACTGGCATGCAATGGATTGATGGACATGTCATTGTCAAACCTGCGTAGGGTCCTTTCGCACGCGCACGCGTGTCTTTGTCCCCATCCAACCTTCCCTCTCCATCATACAACTCAACCCTCTGCCTTTGGCCAGTCAGTAGTGACGGTGGAGCTAGACCATAGACTGTATAAATCCCAGCTGCTGTGAGTTGAGTCCTTTTTCGTTATGTTCGGGTCGCCCACCAAGGGAAACTACTCCCTCATGCGGACGCGCTTGTTTTCATTATCTACTATAAGCATCTCCTGGTTTACGCTTGGTTAAACGGTTTGCCTTTTTTCCCCCTTGTCTCCTCCTCTTCAAAATCCACCACCTCGTCCAGACGCCATGAGCAACCTTCAAATACCCGATTCTTCCTATTCAGCCTCATCCCGGCAGCACGGCGTCTCTAGACCTGTGTCTGTTTCTGTCCAGCCATCCCCAGCATCCGCTTCTCAATCAGCATCTCGGCGTCAAAGAGCCTCCCATCAAGTCGTCTCTTCACAACAACATCAACAACATTTGGCAGCCGACAATCAACCGGCTTATCGCGACGTCTACTCTCACCCTGCCGCAGTAGCCTACACGACAGCTCATCCCCGCAGAACCATCCCAAAATTTGGTCCGTATCTGCTTTTACAGACTCTCGGGGAAGGCGAGTTCGGAAAGGTCAAACTGGGTCTCCATCACCAATGGGGAGAGGAGGTTGCCGTGAAGCTGATCCGGAGAGGAAACATCGATACCTCTGTGAGGATGTCCAAGGTGGAGCGTGAGATCGAGGTTCTTCGGGTAAGTCATCTTCACGACGATCATTCCAGGTGTTGAATTTTTGACAGAGCCTCAAACACCCAAACATCGTCCGCCTTTATGATGTCATTGAAACAGACAAGTATATTGGCATCATCCTGGAGTACGCTTCGGGAGGAGAGCTCTTCGACCACATCCTGGCTCATCGCTACCTCAAAGAAAAGGATGCTGCAAAACTCTTTTCTCAGTTGATTTCTGGCGTCTGGTACATCCACCAAAAGAAAATTGTGCATCGCGACCTTAAACTCGAAAACCTTCTCCTCGATCGCCATCGTAATGTTATAATCACTGACTTTGGCTTCGCCAACCGGTTCGAACATCGTCCCGACGATCTCATGCAGACCAGCTGCGGTTCGCCATGCTATGCGGCTCCGGAACTTGTCATTTCCGAAGGCCTCTACGTCGGCTCCGCTGTTGACGTCTGGTCGTGCGGGGTCATCCTTTATGCCATGCTCGCCGGTTACCTACCTTTTGATGACGACCCTGCTAATCCTGACGGCGACAACATCAACCTTTTGTACAAGTATATTGTGAATACCCCACTGTCTTTCCCGGAATATGTTTCCCAAGAGGCTAGAGATTTGCTTTCACTGATGCTCGTTCCCGACCCAACACGTCGCGCCGACCTTCCGTGCCATCATGGCGCACCCTTGGCTCTCAGCGCATGCCCACACCTTTACCAATGAAGTAGAGGATCTCGAGAATATGGCTTTGGAACAACACCAGATGAAGAGGCTTGCTTATCAGAGGCAGATGCGCCAAGCTGCCACGGCCAATCAACAAGAGCCTTCCAGGGTCGCTCGCACGCAGAGTGCTCGCGTCGATGGGATGCTCAGCGTTGCAACATCGTCCGCTACTGCTGCACCACGCAGCCACTCATACAGAGACAATGCGACTGGACCTAACCAGCCCGAGTACTTGTATGAGACTTCTGTGGACCAGTCATTATACTCCTCTTCTTCACCGCCACCGGCCCGGCAAGCGGTCTCTCTGGCTGTATCCTCGAGCACTCCAATGGACGAGGATCCATTCGCGGCCCTTCCAACTCCCAGCATCCCCGTTACCGTCTCTGCACCCGACGGGACGCCGTCCCTTCCTACAAATGACAACCCCTCCCCTCCTGTCTCCAACGGTACCGCCACTCAGGTCTCCGCGGACCCGAAGAAGAAAGGGCCAAGCGGGTTTAGGCACACTATCCAGGTCGAATACCCTGGAGAACTCGGTCCCCTGGAACCCTCGCGGTTGGATCAAGTCAAAGCTGCTACACCGGCCAGGAAAGCAGCATCACCTCCTCAGCCCGCATCCACCCAAAGTACTCACCTTCGCGAGCGCAAGCCCTCTTCGCCACAAGCCGCAGGTACCCCTTCTAAAGAAAAGTCATCCCGAAGGCCTTCAGCAGACGTGGACAACGGTACCGCGAAACCGCTCCCAAGTACCCCTTCGAATGCTAAACCTTCCACGAGGGTGTCAAACTCTACGTTACGGGACAGTCAACCCCTCACTCCAACACTTGCTATCTCTCCGGCCAGTCCTCCCGGTACCGCCAGCATGGAAGAAAAGTCGGCACAATCTGTCAAAACCGTTGGCTCTTCCGGATCTGCTTCTAGCCGTCATCGCAAGGGGCTCTCTATCGACAAATTTGGACTCGGAAAGATATTCGGTTCCAATTCGGACAGCACCTACGGGTATACTTCCCGTGTCCCATCAGAGAGTTCGACCGTGGGTGCAACATCTGCCATTGAGGAGAAGCCGCAACCATCCGGCCCCTCGCCGACTGATGTGCCTCAGTCTGCTTCCAGGACGTCTTTGCTGAGCCCTACATCTAGCGACAATGCAAAGAAGAACAGGAGGAACACTCTCACGGTGATGGTAGAGCCGTTTAGCCGGTCAATCAAGAACCGCAAGGGAAAAACCCCTACCGGAGAAACACCTGTTAAGGAAAGTCGCGACCTCGAGAAGCAAGCCCCTGTCTCTTCCACGACTTCTCCTCCCCAAGGTCACCGACAAACCGCCGTTTTTCCGAGCATGGTCAAAGAGGGTCACCCAACCAGCGACAACCCAGCTTCAACGATCAAGGCTCGCAACGTTATGCAATGGTTCAGGAGGCGCAGCAACGTCAAGGTGGACGCGGAGGAGCGTGCCTCCGCAGTTTCCCCTCGCACCGACTTGTCTGCTGCAGAAAGGGCGAGGAACGGCGATCAGTCCCGGGCTACTCCAGCTGCAGATATTTCCTTCTCTTTCTCCCGGGCAGGTTGGAAGTTCACTTCGTCGGCACCTCCGAAAGATGTCCTCCGTATCCACCACGGTGCCGTTGATCAGACTACCATCACTACTAGCCCTCCACCTGAGGTGATGAAGCGGATTTGTCAAGTTTTGGAGGAGTTGGGTATGGAATTCAAGGCAGAGAGTGAGTACAAGTACCGGTGTGTCCGGGCGAAGAGAAAAAAGGGTGGTTCAGTCGGTTTGGGCTTCAGCAGTGTTGGTGCCGGAAATGGATTGGCCGCTTTTACCATGGTCGGCTCAGCTGCATCGAACGGGGTGAGTGTCCCACGTTTAACAGCGCTGCGCTTTGTGGCTGAACGTGTCCACGTTAGGTGGATAAACGTGGTCTGCCTCTCCCCTCGAACCCATCTGCCGGCGGAATGCTGAAGGGTTTACTCATGCGAAGGCAGTCATCTCAAGTCTCTGGTGTCGCGCCTACGCCACCTTCGTTGTCTGCAGATGACGAGAATATCACTGCTGCACCTTCTCCCGTCGATCAGTCCCCGCCCGGCGGCGCAGAGCCCATCTATGGCGACTCAACTCAGGATGCTGGGGACGAAGTCCGCTTCTCTGTTGAATTGACGAGGATAGACCGCCTCAAAGACACCTACAGTCTTGATATCCGACGCCTCAAAGGTAACCTACGAAGCTACAAGTTCTTGTACGACACTATCAGAGAGTGCGTAGTCTCCTGGGCGTTCTTCGTCATTATCTTTCCGTGCTGATTCGAACCCTCTTCAGGAGAGCGGATCTTCAGAGATAGGATATCGGCGGGCACCTGTATCTGACATCTGTGCTTACCTTTTTTTTTTAGCATCATAGCCGTTTTGCACTTTTATCCTCCCTCCATACCCTAGTCAAGCCTTTTAATCATCGTTTCAGTTGTCCAAGTTTTGCTCGTTCGCCCGAATTCACGCACCCAAATTCCCAACAATTACAGTGTCGTCTTTCAAACCACTACCATCATCCACTCAACCCCTTTTGTTCCATCACTGTCAATTATTGGCTTTTTGTTCCATTTGACCTAATCTGTGTCAGTTGCAGATGCTTTGCTTTTTAGTTAGTGCAACTCTCGTCCTCGAAGCGTGTTTCATTCCAGATGTAGGCAAAAACTCAGAAAGTTATGTCTGTACGCTATATAGGCATCACTCGGATATATGTATATAGTTACCCACTGGAATGGATAACCATGTTGTATATACAGATGGAAGGTGTTCGCGTTCATAAGCTAATGGGGTGATACAACTAATAGAATGAAGGGTGTCCGTCGATAGATTATAGTATAGTATGTTGTGAATAAGGTAAAGAATGCGCGTTGTGAAGGGGACGTCATCGCAGCTCCGGAAAGTGACCATCACATCCACCCAGGGAATCGGGATAAGGGAAAGGAGCGTATTAATGGAGCCACGAGGAATCGGCGTTTCCGTTGACTACATTTCGTTGATGTCGGTGGCCCAGATCCAGGGGCTGAATACTACGGGACCAGTTGAGGGATTAATACTGGTACGACGATGGCTGATGTCTCGGGAGACTGGTGTGGAAGTGCGCAGCGGTGGTGTGATTTCACTGGTTGGCAAGCTCCTCCATTCTGCTCAGGCTGAGCATCACGGGGTCGATATAACGTTCCGGTACCACTGGCTCTTGGTGATGCACGGGTCTCGTAAAGAGTAAGTGTTGAAGGATGGGCTCGTCTACGTCGTCGTGAGCTGACGACTCGCATAGCGTGCACGGACGATTACGAATTGCACTAGCCCAGCAAGGCCTCCCGAAGCGGCGGTAAACCAGCGCTGTCCCAGATGTCGTTTCCACTGATGAGGTTCCCATGATAACGTAGGGTGTTATCGGGACGCGCGAAGTACGGCGGCAGCTGGGGCACGGTATTGAGGCGACATGGAACAAGATAGTTGTTTGCCAACAGTCTCGCGTTATTCTGTGTGGAAACGGCCGTTTTGGGTTGACCTGGCAGACGGGAAGGGATTATTCCGTCGCATGTTGGAAGTTGACCCTCCAAGTGGCCTGGGTACAGTTGAAAGCACGTTCTCATCGTTGGGCGGACGCGGGATGCTAGCCTTCAAAATCGACGAGGTGGATGACCCTGCGGGTCCCGCCGGCGACCGGGCGATCGGACTGAACACTCCTTTGTCACTGTTGCCCGTGCCTGTCTCTTCCCCTTGCTTCTCTTTTGATACCCAATCGTTCGTCCCGTCCGTCGTTACCGCCAACGCCAAATTCCCAGCCCTCTTCACCAAACATGTCGGACATCCCCTGACGAACTGCGCGACGAGCTCTTTCGGCACCCACGAATAGTGCCTCCTGATAGCCGCACACGTCTTATCCCTCCCGCCGTGCTCTGTTAATCCATGGCAATAACAAAGCACTTCGTACATCTGTTCCATGATCGCTACTGGCCGATTGTCATGCAACACGACAGGCGGCAAGTCTTTATCCTTCCCTCTCTTTCCTTTCAAGTTGGACCCGTTCTCGGAGTTGCTAGAAGGTCTCCAGGCTTGGTCGACCCGACCACCTTCGCCCTGCACAGTCACCAATCGGAACGTCTTCCTCACCCAGAACCGAAATTGCGGAGTGCCAACACGGGTCGAGCCTGGGTGCCATAGTACCTCCCATATCTGATCAAATGTCGCCTGCGTGATCAGTGCCTTGGTACGCTTGCGCGGAGCTAGGTTCGCCAAGTACGCTGCTTCGATGCGTTTGTATTCTTCATACGTCGGGAAACCGGGTTGTGAGGTCGTAATGGGGCCCGCCGGGGCTAAGGATGACACGGCGCAATCGGAATGAACGTCGGAGAGCGACGACAAGGAGGCGCGGCTTTGGAGAACTGGCTCATTGTAAGGACTTGGGCTCGGGCTTGGCGGGCGTTTGCAATAGCCGTTAGGGAGTTCCCTGAAAGGTTCGCGAGCGGAAGGCCAGCAGTCGTTGCGTTTACGAGGATGAGACATTGTATAGATGGACGAAATGACAATTACGATTTACTGTAGAGTAGTAGGATGTTTAGTGCGGGTATCGACAGTCAGGGGTGGCTGGCCACGACACAATGGGTATCACGTGCCCAAAAAATCAATCATCTGCCAAGCATGACAAGATATAGAAAGCGCACGAAGGAGCTCGGCAGCAAAAGAAAGTGGGTTTGCCAAATGATGCAAATGCACGACACATATATGCAATCCAAAGACGACGAAAGTTTGAAGAAAAGAATGATCCCTTAAATTTCAGCAATTATCGACTAACCGATTCTTCGGATTCGTCTGATTAAACTGGGCCCACGTCGTCAGATTGAAGTTTGTATAGGCCTCCATGTAACTGTATACAAACGCTCGCGTCAGTTCGTTTCATTTTCCCAATGCAACACACGGGGACGGGGAGTAAGAAAGAAAACTCACGTATTGATATACGCCGCCGTAGGAAACTCGGGCGGATCGCATCCGACGTTCTTCGCGTCTGCAGGTTGGTATACCCGGATATAATCTACCGACATCGTCGCTGGCAATTGAAGATTTTCGAAATCAATACCCCCAAAATTGGTCGAAAACCCGAGGTTGGCGATGATATACTAGTTGAGAGCATGATGACAGTAAGCGTGAACTCTCCCGCATAGCACGATTGTCACTTACCATCGGCTCCTGAGGAATCGGTCGTGCCGCGATCTCAGTGAGAGGATCCGGTCCCACCCCGGCAGCCATAACTGTCCACACTGGCTTACTGTCGCTGATCCACGTTATATATCCATTATCAAACCTATCCGCAACACAACGACAAGATGTGAGTCTGACGAACGCCAAAGAGACCATACACAACGCACCCAGGGACATATTCGAACCCATAGACACTATAGCATCCTTTATCCAACTCATAACAGTCCTGGTCTGTAAGAGACAGCCCGCTCGTCGTTTGTTGGTATGCACCTGCGAATGCAAGGGTCCGGCTCAGAAAGACAGTCACGAAAGACAACTACAAGTGCGGTGCACTCGCCTCCGTGGTACAAATTGAGCACTGTGATCGTCGGATCGTAAATCTTGAAGTTATCCGAAGTATTTGACCACTGATACGCAGCCTACGAAACGTGTCTGCGCATCAACTTGCCTCAACGGAATTCGGACTCACATTGAAAGGTGCCCACTGTGCCGACTGGGATACCTGCAAAAAAGACAGTCAGATGACGAAGAGAGAAGGGTGACAATAGTCGAACTTTGCCAACGCCATTGTCGACCGTCGCTTCAAAAATATCGATCTCAGGTGCAGCACGGCCTACATAGTCCCCACTGCTGTGCACTGGTCCTGGATGCGACTCCCCTGGACACGTACACGCTGACAACCGCTGACCGGGAAGATACGACTGTTTCACGAGCTCAGCAACCTACCACTCACAAATGAGAACACATAAAATCCAAAACGTACCAGGACACCACCGTGATCAGGATCGCCGTTCTCTGTGGCAGCGAGAGGCGTCTGCGTACCCGGGAATGTCTGGTTAGGGAGCGTCCCAACATCACAGCTATCATATGAGTACGGCCACTACGGGAACTCGACAATCAAGAACGCATAGAGGGGACAAAAAGCCACCTACCAGGCCATCTAAACTCGCACCGAAGCCAGCACGACCTAGAAATGCGTTAATAGCGATTCGGCGATTCGACGGCGACCTTACCTAGATTTCCCATCGTCCATCTTTCGGGGCGGATGTTAGCATTGCGTACTCGGACAATCTGAAAACCCACATAGCGGGCCATAAGCCACTACAGGCGTCTCGTCACTAACACGAACGCATTCTCGAAGTAGGGAACCACTCACTGGACGTTATTCGATCCGGGAAGGACAACCGAAGCTGTTGACGGTTTAACGACCGCATTCCATCACCGCTGCGCAACTCACTTTCGATCAACCCGCCAGTGAAGCAAAACTTATTCCTACGAATGTCAAGTTCCCACTCTTTCTGCGACAACGCTGCACACACCATGATTGAATCTGCAAAAAAAGGACGTGTTAGCCCAGCGTAAGGCTCCAGAAGGGTAACGTACTCACCATGCCAGATTTATATGTCAGATTATGATTTGTCGCCGGATCGACCTTGGACAACGTGATCGCTAATGCACCGCCCTTAGTGGTGACCGTAGATGGGTCGTACCACTCCAAATCGTTCTACACCACCATCGACGTCGTCCCATGATTCCAAAAACCAGCGAACTCACTGTACCCCAATAATGCAAATTTGGTGCTTCCCAGTATGGATCGTCGCCCGGATAAAACGACCGCCCATCCGTGTTGAACTCGTCTGAAAACACCAGCTCCCATGTATCCCCAGGATTCATGTACGACGCTTTCGTGTACGCATCCTTGGGCGTATCGACATCGATCAGGCCCCAACTGCCCGGGATGGAAGGTATTTGGCCAGTTGCATTGATCCCCCCAAGGTTGAACCCGCCTTGGGTGGTTTGTTTCTTGGTCAGTAAGTGGCTGAGGAGAGGTAGTACGAAACTGCCAAGCAAACATTGTCATCCTTGTCGGCATTTGTGTATCCTAACCGCTCCCACACCCAAGCAAATGAAATACTCACAACATAAAGATGAGCGCTGCGGCGAGAATGAACAAACACCCTAGATTAGCGATGCCTCGAGCAGTGAAGATATGGCCGCCTCTGTCATTCTTGAGGTCTCGTCTTGGGTCCGGGTTGTGTAGATCGTCGTCTGGCTCAGGGGTACCCATCGTGAGGGCTGCCGAACCCCACTCCGCGGGGTTGGGTTTGAGGGCGTACTGTGTGGGATGCCCGGCATTGACAGTCGTCTATCAGTATTGACACGCGATTGTAAGTGGACGTATCATCTACGTACCATGTCTGATAACGAATTCTGAGTGGCCGAATGTTCGTCGCGTGAACAAAAGAGTGGACATTCAGTGCAGGGACCGCACTCACAGCATACGGTGATGGACTCAGAGACCTGCTCTGGGTCGGTGACAGCAAGCCATCGCAGAATTGCGACGAGTGGGGAGTACCCGTTGGAGACCCCTGCGGCGCCAACAAGTTCGAGGTTGACGAGGACGGTTCAAATTCCATTCTCAGCAGAGGAGACTCCATGCAAGATGGAAACCGACGAGCGAAAGTCTTCCAAGGGAAAAGAAAAGGAATGAGATACTCTAAAGGCAACGTCGGCCAGTTGGAGTTGGGAGGAATTTGAAAATTAAATGACTGCTTCGATTTACATTGCCGTGTCATTTCTTGCATTCTAGCGGGTGTGAAGATGTGAAAGAAAAGGGGACCGACACCAAATGGGGAAGCGCCAATCATCCGATGACGTCTTGGTATTTACAAGGAGAGCTTGGCACTGGGATGGTCTACACAGAGGGAATGGGACTATCAAACGCAGCAATTGTGTTGGCAAGTTCAGCAGGAGTCGGTTTGGGCGCGACGACGTCTACCCGCAGACCCATCTCTTCACGAAGAAAGGATGCCGTAGTTGGGCCTATTGCGGCGACCTTGGCAATTTCTTTACTCCCGTGTCCATGCTCACCAGTACCATCTGTGTCGTTCAGACGACGAAAGAAAAAACGATCACACAGTGCTGGATAAACATGTCGAGCTGCAGAGGGAGCAAAGAACACAATCCATCCCCACGCCCTTCTCCTCATTATCTGGTAAGGAGATTTGGAAACTTAGCCCGATCCGAGTGTGATTCGGATGATATCAACAGGTGACTTGCCTCCATCGCACCCTGCAGATTCAACTTTCCTTAATGCATCTTCCAGGTCATGCGCAAACGTCGACGAGCCACACGTCTCATATACTTGCAACTCCTCCATCTCAACTCCTCCCTGTGTCCAACATCTTCGACATCGTATCCCGATTCTTATCTCCCGTCAAATACAACATTTTCTTCGACCCGGACACGTCTCCATCTTCCAAGATGACCCTCGCAAGCTGCTCGGCCGAACCAGCACCTGACCCACCTCGCACATCCATCGGACCCAATCCGCATGGCAACCTTTTCCCCAACTCACGCGCTGCGCCTGCAGTGACATCTCCAAGAATGTAAAACGGGATGGGTGCCCAGCTGGTCTCATCCTCGCCGCCACTCCCCACCTCCCGCACGACGTCGTTCTCTCGTGATCGGGTTACAATACAGTCCACAGCTCGATTCCATGCCTCGATCGACCTCTTGCTTGTTACAACGACACCGGTAAACCGATGCACGCTTGGTCCGTCGTCTATCTTGCTTGCCAGCTGCTCAAGATGGACGAGCGTCGTTTCCAAGATTGGCGCTGAGATAGGGGAGTATCCGTGCGTACGAAAGGCGGCCTCGTATCTATCAGGTACATCCGATGTCGGGGATCGTAGCAATAGTACATTCATAGTAGATGGAGGGGTTGGTGTGAGAGGGTGACTGCATCAATGGACTCGTTTTCACACGGGTACACGATGACGACAGGTAGTCGTAGGTCACGCGGTCATACGGTCGTACATACTACAGTCGTTAGGCCGTCGGGCAGCAGTCTGCACCTCTCCCGATTCTCATCTCCTGTCAGACACAACAAGTACTTTCTTTCGACCCTGATCCATCCCCACCATTCAAAATGGCCATTTCAAGTTTCCCAGCTGTACCAGTGCCACACCACCCCGCACGACCACTGGTCCCAATCCATGTGGTAATCTCTCCCCCAACTCATGCGCCGCCCCTGCCAGTGCAGGTCACTTCCCCCGACAACGTTAAACAGGATGGATGCCCAACTCGTCTCCGCTCCCCACCTCTCGCATGACTCTTTCGTGTCCGTACAACTAAACCCTCCACAGTACGACTCCACGCCTCGATTGACCTCTTTCTCGTTACGTTGGAACCGGTGACACGATGCACGCTTGGTCCATCGACTATCTTGCTCGGACGAGCGTCATTTCCAACTTGAAGACGGTTACTGAGATAGTGGGGTATCCGTGAGTACGAAGCAACGCCTCGGATTTATCAGGTACCTCCGATGTCAGAGAGTGGAACAATAGTGGTGACTGCATGGATGGGCACGCTTTCGCACGGCTTACGGGACAGAGTATGTGAACTTTCCTCAGTCACAGACTACGCGATGAAAGATACGACAGAAAACATATCACAGCTATCCGTCCTGTTGCTACCCCGTATCTCTCTGAGGATCTAATAGGGGTCAGTCTTCGAACTCAATCTCTGTTTCTTTCTACCACCACTTCTTGGCAGGTTGTACCGTGTACGTGCTCTCCACTGCATCATATCCGCTGCGAGTCAGTCACTATCATCGCCATAGCTAATCATGCCATTTTTCAGCCGACGCCACTTAGCCCGCTGGGGTATTGCTTCGGCCCCGATTCTGTCCACTTCTTTGTTGCCTCTCAAACTCCTTCAAGTGAATCCCTCATAGCAGAAATCGAGGATGAGAGTTGGGTTAATAGAGTCGAATTGCGTCTCAAAGCAGACAATGAAGATGCCACGCAAGTTGTTGACTGCCCTTCCTTGGTTTGTGGGGATTGACCTTGCTGAAAACCTCTCCTCTTATTTATGTCAGTGACGTTGGCATTGGCAAAATTGAGCCGACTTTCATAGACTGTCCAAGCCGTGGCCGTGCTCTCCCCTGCAATTCTCTTGAGTCTTCTTTTACCGTAGGGCGTGAGGGTGTGCCTCAGCACACTAGCAGGGCTGAGTGTTATGATACATAATTGCGATTGGGGTCGGACGTCGAGTACCGAGGGCACTGAAGGGGATTGAATCCGTCGGCCCTGTCCTCGGTGGCGTTCAATGTAACATTTAGTCATTGACTATCCGATGTGCTGGTGTCGAATGACAGACAGAGAGCGTATGCAACTACTTATCTCCCTCTGAGGATCCCGTCCCGATCAACCGAATGACGTTCTCATACACCGTGAACACGATGCCTCCACTCATCTACAGTGTGAATGCATGTCAGTGGATCAGGTATTTATCACATCCGGGAAACAAGACGAAGAACAAGAAGTAGGGGCACTTACAATTAACCGTGCCAATCTCGGCGTCGTACCCGTCCAAAACCTCAGCACGCCCTCCTCCGTCAGTATCCTATACGCGCAATGGAACGAGTTCTTGTATTGTTGTTTTGCTGTCAGGGACTGCATCCGGGTTTTAATCACGCTAATTTCATGCGACACCCCAGTCAGCCACTCAATGCACACAAAAAGTCCAATTGTAGTTATCATTCACGTACTCGAGCGGTTGTGTGACGTAGACCGTCACAAGGCCTGCTATAGCGCCTATCCCGAATGTGATTCCAGTCGGTAATGACTGACCAGGTCGTGCGGTGCTTTGGATAAATTGTTTGAGCGTCGTGTATGTCGTGAATCGGACCGCAGAATTAGCGCCTTGACGCATCATCTATGCCCATGTATAGGTTGTTAAGAGGGTTGTAGCGAAAGCATGATCAACAGACTTACGACGGGGAAAAGACCTCTATAGATGCCTAGTATACCTTCTTGTTTGACGATGGATACGGTACCATGTATGAGTCCGCGATACTGTGGGTTTGGACGTTTCGCGTCATCGATGAGTTTCGTCCTGCAAACACGTGTAAGCCGACGGAGGCATACACGAGGTTCAGCCTGGACGTACTTAATCGTTTCGGAGGGTGTCACTGCGATGATAGCCTCCGTCATCCCGGCCCCCAGTCCAGCTGTGTACGGATATGGTCATAGGATTGGTAGGCGAACAGGGGGGCGAGACGTACCGAGGAGACTCCGTGGCGGACTGACCTTGCCCTGCCCGCGCAACAAGTGAGCCACACACACGAAATGAACGAGCGAACGAATTGTCAACCTCTTTATCTGCCAGCAAGGACTTGAAGTGGTCGTACGTGACGAATCTGACGCCAGCCTTGACAGAATTCCCGATGACGAGTGCCGAACATCCTGAATACAATCCTGTGATGCCTTTTTCTCGGACGGTGGTGCGTATGATCGAAATTGGAGATTCTCGCTGTGAGAAGAAAGAAGGCGGCTAAGGAACACAGACATAGGGGCAGGGATGTGCCCTCGACTAACCTGTCCTCCAAACTGAGATCTGGTTTTTACGAACTCGGTGGGATAAGTGACGAATCTGCCATGCTAATCCCGTCTAGTAACTCGTCAAACGCAGACATTCCACTCACGCTTCGATGGCACCTGCCAACGATCCTGCAATGAGCGAGTGAGCCGGCTTTTCTTTTCTCGAGGACATCGTCGCACTGTATTTCAAATTTGGAACCTGTTCATGCATAGTCGAGGCACGTGACTTCCACGTGACAATCAACAAAGCGTGACTCTGATAAAAACAAGCCGTGTCACAGCCCCTTGCACTCATACCGCCATCACCGAACCGGCATGTCCTCACAGAAAGCAACAGGCGGGAAATCGAAACCATCGCAGGCGGGAAATGCAGCCTCGACCTCGACAGGTCCACGTACAATTCAGACAAGGAGCCAGAGAGCTGGGTTGCAGGTGCGCAACCCACCCTTGGCTCATAAGACAACCGGATTCACTGTTAGGGCAGTTCCCTGTCGGTCGTATCCATCGATATCTCAAACAACGTACACAACACAATGTACGGATAGGCGCAAAAGCTGCTGTATACACATCTGCCATCTTGGAATACCTCACAGCCGAAGTGCTCGAGCTGGCAGGTATGCCTTCGCCACTGTGGTTACATTGACTCGCTCTCACACTTCATTATTAAGGAAACGCGTCCAAAGATCTCCGTGTCAAACGCATCACGCCGCGTCATCTCCAGCTTGCCATCCGCGGAGACGAGGAACTCGATATTCTCGTCCGAGCAACGATTGCAGGTGGTGGTGTCCTGCCCTTCATCCACAAGTCCCTCACAGCAGGAACTGGCAAGAACAAAAAACTTGAGGGCCAGTAGAAGCACTCGTCTACGCGCACGTCCATGTTCTTGGCCTCCGCATGGCGTCAGTGTCGTGTATTCGTTGCTGTAGGATCGGAGTGTGGATATAGTCGTACAGTTTCGTCGTAATGGGGATGGGGGGGAAGTTAAGGTATTCAATTCGTTTTGTATGTCGCGAATTTGCTTGTGGGCGAGTGTATTTATTCTTCTGTTGTATACCGAGGCTATTGGCAAATACTGGGCTTGGTAAGTGCGATCGCACTGCATTGATCTTGTCTACAGTCAGCATGGAGGCTAGCCTCGTCCAGATCCCACGGGTATGTGTGCCGATCGACAAATCGTCATTATCCACAAGATCACAGTAAACTAGGCATAGCCAAGACGGTATTCATACATATTCATGCCACAGTTTCCATTCCGCCAGTCGTATGCGCTCAGTCATGAGGAGCCCGGGCATGTCCCTCTGCTGCAGCCCTCCCTCCGGCCTCGCGGAGCTCTCCCCTCTCATGCATCTCCGGGTTGTTGGTCATCTTGCCTACAACCTACAAAGCGGTGTCCATCAATATCAGATCCACGAACACTCCTCCTATTCGTGAATGGAGGGACTAGAGACGAAAGAACGTACCTTTTCGGTCTTCCCAAAAATCTTATCTGTGACACCAAGCCTGGCTGGTGTCGAGGTTAGGCTGGCCGCCAATCGCAACGCCGCCTATACGGTGTCACGAAATTAATATCAAATTAGACGGAAAGACATGCGCTACTCACCCTCAGGTACGGGTCTCACTCCAAGCGGACGGTCCGTAGTGTACGCGTTCCTGCCTGCACCTGCACCCTGGAGATAATCCTCACCCCGTTCTGCACCGACACCACTACCATGTGTGCGCCTTTGCGCTCCGCGGTGCTCGCAAGGCTCTTCACTTCCACCATACACGTTCCCGCGCTGTTGTTGGCCGGCCCCCACAGCTTTCCGGGGCCCGCTCGAAGTTCTCGCCCTCGCGGCCCTCTCGGCGTGGTAAAGGCTGATTGGGGTCGTGCAGACGGTGCTGTGGACCGGATGGGACATCTCTGTCGGTCACAGACGGGTCTGGGTTCCGAGAGGGGTTCTGAGTAGGGTTCTGAGTAGAATCGTAAGACATGATTGAAGTTCTCGTATGTGTTCAGTTGTTTCTCGAGTTGGGTCTGATGGGTTAAGACTGTTGGGTACGACCGGGTTTATATACCATTCCTCGCACATGAGCACGGGATATAGAACTGACGTCACGATGCGATCATCATGCCATGGAAAGTCTGGTCCGTGGGAGATGAGATGAGAATACCGGATGGATGTCAGACTGACGACGTCACATCGGGAGCGGGTCGTGGAGACGTGCGGCTCGGACTCCACTGACGCAAGTCGGACCACCGCCAACTGGGTTTTCCACTTCCTCCACATTGTTGGTGTGTCAGTAGGGTGGTTTCCACGATCGGCTACGGTGTGGAGTGATAAGTTCTTAAGCGTGAGTTTCGAGGTGACCCACGATTCGACCATTGGTGAGCGCACGCACGCACGCGACCGTTCCACGCATGCAGGAAGCATACACAGCAAAGTCAAACCAGTGCTTCAATTCTCGGCGGAAACATCTGACACATTAGGCACCCTCTAGTTTTATTCAATAACACCCCCCCATCCCTCCCTCCACCATAAGTACCAGTCCCGTGACGTGTCCAGACAATCGACGACGCAACACCGCGATCTGATTTGCAATATCCGTCAGCGTCGCGATCTTCTTCAATGGTGTTCTTTGTTATATGTACTCCGCGTCAACTCGAATCACGCCAATAAATAGCCCGGATTCAAACTCACGTCGCGAGCGAACAATTGATCACCTTCGGGTCTTGGAGGGCTGCTTCTGCCATAGGAGTGAGTGTTGACCCACCTAGGAGCGACACAGTTCACTCTAGCCTTTTGGCCAAAAGATTACAATCTTATTTTTGAGCGTCATCGTCAGGCTGGTACGTCATAGTTAATCCAAAAGAAAACATAGCACCAGAAAAAGGAGTGAGTGGATGAGCATGGAGCGTATTTGTATAACTCACATACCGCATTTCGACGCAGCATAGTCAGCGTGTCCAGCTTCTCCGTATTTCCCAGTTGTGCTCCCTACCAAGACGATAGCAGCTTTGTGTTTGACAGCCTTTTCGGAATCGACAAGACGAGTATTTACAACAGACCCAAAACGACGAGGTTAAATTTGTGAAAATGATCTCGTTCCGGCGATCTAGGGGCAAGTTGACAACAGGAACATCTTCCGACGGTGCGATGGCGTGATTCACGACTGCACTTGGACTAACCCAACGTTTCCTTTTGAAATTGATGCAAAAATGGACTGTACGGATGCCTCTTACTTGAGGTTAGCTTAGACTCGTTGGAGATTGTTTGGGAACGTTTTCAGGAGACCTCCCAGAGGTTCAAACTTGATATTGTAGTGCGCAATAACGTTTGCGCCGAGAGCTTAGGTGGGGGTATCCATGTCAGTGTCTGCCTGGGAGGTACAAAGGTACGCGTGTCGATGCCACGTACAGCAAATAATCCGGCAGTTTCGAGGTCGATTCTGCCACTCGCACCTACGTTTTTGACCGTCTGTGAGATCTGGTGTACACAAGAAAAGAGAAGTGTCTGAGGCGCCTGTGACGAGCACGTGGATGCCTTCCAATGCAAAATCCATGGTTTTGGGTGAGTAACAAGGGGAGAGATGCGAGATACGATGATCAAGACGTGATGGGAGTTACTGTATGTGGATCCTGAAGCACCTTGACACCGAGGCTTGGGAAGATCGTTATCGAAGGATGTGTATCATTTTTGCATTTGGTGGTAAGATTTCACATTAGCGATCAGCATCATGTGCGCGAGTATTCTTCGGTGAAGAAGTCCAAAGGGTTAACAGAGTCTGAGTTCATGAAGTCAAACCACCTGCCTTGTGTGAAAACGAAGAAAAGCTGGGCCACTCGGAAGTGAGGGGACGAACCCTGTCTGGCAGATCTATGTCGAGGGCCCCCTAGTCGGACGTTCTGTCGAGTGTACTTACATTGCTGTCGCTGGGAGGACTCTGGAGTCAGTTTTCGCCTCGAGAGTGAGTACACCAGCTACACCCGATACTGCGAGATAGTACGCTGCACGAGAAGCATGCATCTAGTTAGAGATGGTGTACATGAAAGACTGGAGCATCGCAGAACTCAATCCACACGAGCTTACAGGGGGTGGTATTCGGAACATGAGGGCCACAAGAACTAAGGGCAGGGCTCAGAAGTGGTCTTAGAGTGGGTGTGCAGTTGGAATGCTCAGCGAGCAGATATATCGAGTCTGCGAGCGCCTGCGACCCAGATGAGATATGTAAGCGAGGGGCATCGATGTCAACTCTGAGCCTTTCCAAAGTTTGAAAGGAATCTTGTATGCGTTCTGTTTGCAATCTAAAATAATGTACACAATACTAGGTATACGTCACTACGGGAGTGGCTGAATGGGTACATCAAATGATCAAGTGCAAGGGAGGGCGTGGTCTGGAAGTATCATGACGACGATTGGAAGTAATTGGTTGCAAGTATTGGCCAAGAATGGGTGGGGACAGCTGTTGGGGGGAGGGACTGATTTTTGGGCCAAGGAGAAATGTGAATGGAGCGTAGACGATGCGAGACAGAGGCTGAAGGCATACCGAATGGAGTGTGCCGTGTCATGACCACCGTGGACGTGGCAGAAAGGAGAAGCTGCCAACAGGTTGGTGTATTTTGATCACCATGTGGAAGACACTGCTGCCGTGCTCAAAATCACTTCCTGAGAGGGCTGGGGCAATATCCCAGAGAAAGGGGGTCAGAGAATGAGATGCTTTCCAAGGAGATAGTCTACGAGTTCAAATTCCGTTTGAATGTGAAGGGAATAGTGACTCTAAGAAAAGTCTATGTTTGCTCTTGGGGGGTAGAGTCAGAACTGCGTCTCGTAGCTCTGCCCTTGTGGCACGATGTGCGACTTTGTTTCCTTTCTTTCGTAAAGAATTTCTTGTTAAAAACAAAAACATGAGATCCTTGATTGACGGAGTGTGAGGCTCTCCTTGTTCTTCTAGTTTCTTTTTGATCCATGTTGCCAGTTCAGAGGTCGGCAGTTGGGACACAAGGAGTTTCTTCCATTCCGTTTTCGTAAATGAGCGGGAGATTGCCTGTTCCGCAAGGTCCATTAGGATTCGGTGGCGAAGGGGTGCCAGGACCCCATGACCTGACAGCATTCAGTCAACGAATACACAAAGATATCAGAACCTTACAAGTTGGACCTTACGGACTGCAATGGCACATTCATTATCCTTCTCTTGAAGGTCTTTCCTGGGTCGCTTCTCCACATTCCTCAGAGACACATTTGCTTGTTGCAGTCCCTGGAGCTCTTTTACAAGTTTGGTTACGAACTCGGTTGACTTCACCCTTTCAGCTGTTATGTCACAGTTAATTCAAGCACAAGGACCATGTGGTGGAAATTCACCCATATTGAAATGTTTCCAAGACATATCTTCAAGATGCTTCTTGGCGTCTTCACTGTTAGGTTCTACAAGAACACAGAGTACTTTGTCTTTTTTATCTGGGCCACATCAGCTGACGCCTACTTTTGATTTGAAGGCTCACTAAGAAAATGTTCCGTTCTAAACATATTTGGCCTCAAAGTGGCCATGGAATCATCTGTAGAGTTGACTGCGGCGGCAGCAGTCTCTACTGCACGGTCGAGGATGGGTTGCAGCCTGCCAGGAGTGCGCCCAGATCCCATGGAGATATCCTTGATAGTAATAAAGGGATGGTTCAGGACCACGCGAATTCATGATAGTTTTGGAACCTGCACCATAGTAAATTAGGAGTGGGGGAAGAAGTCGTTGAGTGGTCTGTTGTCTGAGTTGAGATATTTTACTAAACACCGAGTGCACGTCGCTCACGTGTTCTCGAAAACAATTGTTAACGTCAACTTCCACTTCCCTGGTGCAGTAGGTCGTAGTAACCACTCCACGTCCAGCGGGAGTCAGATGACGATCGTCTCTACGGCCTCACTGTCAAAATCAACACTGCTCAGCTGATCTGAACGTGTTACAACAAAAACTCAGTGTTGTGGTCGGTTCTTTGCAGCATGCTGCATCCACAGAAGAAAAGTGTGTTGTCATAATCTACAGATGGTGCATGCTTCAATGACGGGAGGTACCCTTCCGTATCTGGGACTGGAATTCCATTCTGGATACGTGAAGCAGACCCAATTGATGAAGATGAAGAGGCTCATCCCTGTAGATGATAGGCTTGATCCCGGGGAGAAGAGGACGAGTCAGCGTACTGAACTGCTCGCTGCACCACACGGCCTGAAGAACGTATGCGATGAAGACGAAAGCTATCTAGCGGACCGGCGCAGGAATCGGAGCTCGCATTCACAACGGCCAGAGACCATCATCACCACGAACTCTGAATATATGGTAAAGGGGATGACGGAGTGGCTTCCTACCTGGAAGGTTCGTACTCGTACTGATGGAAATTTGGCACGTGCACTGCCACTCGCACTGCAGGTGACGAAGTTTACTATCCAGCCCTAACACCGTTGGTTGGCATGCTAATCATGCGAGTTAAGTCTTAGAGTTGCATCTTTTTTCTCAGATGGATGGGACAAGATGGGAACCCGGTAAGATTCTTATGTGAAGTATCGATGAAAGTACCTAGAAGGTCGTCTGTGTGTTGACTCAGCATATTTTTATAATCACTTGTAAGTCTAGATTGGCAATCCCTTTGTTTCTGGATGGAGTGCAGCATTCTTTTACCCCATTCGTGCGTAGATTGTCAAAAGATGAAACTATGACTCGGAAAGCCCTCGGAACGGTCGTGGCTGGTCAACAAGAGGAGAACCTCTCAGTTGTGACGATAAGATAAGCGTGAACTCCGGGCCCTGCCACTTCGAAGATTCGGCTGCGCGTGGCTGTAGGACATCTACGAGTCCATTGGATTACCACGTATCGATATTCTTGGAAAAGAGGGCTAGCAGTACGAATGCCAGTGCAGGTGGAGGCCTTGGCTTGGTGGTGGTATTGGGGATGAAGCATTAGCATCGCGTATGTTGAGAAAAACTGTGTCACCTCCACCTGCTAGTGATGGTGCTAGTGCTAGTTTTGGTTCGGGCATTGGTGTTCTCGGATCACCTAGTACAAAGCCGCAGGATGATTCGCTCAGTTCTGAACCTGTGACTGATATAGATGTGTCTGCATCTTCTTTAGGATGCTTTACAGATTCTATTTGAGATCGATGGACAGTTTGGGGGTGTTTTTTTGCGTATCTGGTACGCAGTCTGGGCAATTTGCCTTGGGCATAACCTATTCGGATATAGCGATGCCACCAAACAGGACGCGCGACTTTGGGCGAGGCGGGCCTCTGTGCATGAATTATTATTAGTTTGCCTTCTGCATGCTGGTCAGAACTTACCGCTTTTGCACGCGGCGGCACCGTGAGCGGACCAGTGCAGAAAAGCACGTAAGATGCCTCAGCAGCGAACCGGCTGTCGAATACCACCGATTCCTCAGTTGAACATACAGATTCACTGACCAGCATTCGTGAATCGGGCCTGTAGTAATTCCATCACTACAGGTTTGATTCACGAAAGTCAGTTCCTTCACAAAGACATAGGCTACCATAGAATTGCGGCTGGGGAGTGAAATGCACATTCAGATGGAAAGGCTAAGGTGGTCCAACGCGTCGCACTTACATTCGGAACACGCAGCCGGTTGGGTTAATTTGGAGAGGACCCGAAGCAGGCGTGGTTTGGACTGCCAAGTTTGAAACTCCGATCAGCCACGAGTAGCTGGTACTTTGACTATTATTGGAGGAAGTTGTTTAATCAAACTGCCTTGGAATGGACACGCCAGTACTTGCGGCTGACGAGGTCGTCAGGTAGAGGGCTCCGAATCAGTGGGTGATATGCCAGCTCACCACGTTATTGGGACATGTTATCGCCTTACACGGGGGAAACGCATGTGGCATATGCATACAGCCGATCGAAAGCAGGTTAGGCTGGCGGCATATATCGGGTAAGTCTGTCACCGGCCAGGCCTATCTGCAAAGTCCCTCTTGGACAGACTCACACTCAGAGGCGGGGAATATTCTTGAGCTCAGGGAGCTGGCGGTTCGACTGCGTATTCCCTCCCCGCATGCGAGGTTTGTTTGATTTAACGAGCGTCCAGATCTCAGACTTGAGTTGTGCTCCTTTGACATCATTGAGACGTATGATTAGCGAGGCTTCCACTTCTCCAGCGAGATGGGCCTGCCTGCTTTCTGGAGCCAGCGTGGTGCCCACCCTCCCAGTACCACAAGGTCGTTCACTGCCTTCCGTGGTACCAGCCGGTGGCATCCCATCGCATGGCGAAGGTGCTGGGTGGAGCTCACGTGTAAAGGCCGCCACTGGCCACGTATAGGGTGCATGGAGCCCTAATATTCTGCCTGCCAACCTCAGGACTCTCCTATCGCGTGGCGATGAGCCTGTTATATGATATCTAAGCCGGCGGGTTTAAAGTTGTGCGTTCTTTCTCTCCTTTCTACCACACTATATGGTGGCTGACTGGCATCCAGGACGATGACATTCGCGCAGCCCTTTCTTTCATTCATTCTTCTGGGTTTCATACACATGGTTTATTGTCAATGGCAAATTTGGGACATCGTGCGTGTGCTGTTGCCTTCGAGATCTGTTCGGAGTATCTGTCTCCGAGCACCATACTGACGCTTTCGATACAGTGGCAAACTACATGGGATCAGAAAATGCTCTTGGCGTACTCCCAACCCAACCCGGCCCCCATCAACTTCGTGACGCCGGGCCCCATTGGGAGTGCCGACATCGTCATCGACGACACTGCCGTATACCAGACGATTTATGGTTTTGGCGCAGCCCTGAGTAACACACTACACTATGACTGGTCCGTTTGCGTTCTGACTTATGGCAGCTGATTCGTCTGCACAACTTCTTTACAACCTCAAGGTTCGTCGTCTCGGGACGCATATGAATGCTAGGACTCACAGCGCTCGTTTTCGTAGACTCAGAATTCGGGAAGCTATTGGTCCTTGATGGACTACCTTTTCAACGGTATGTTATCCATTGCCACGTTTCACGGACACGAGCTCACGACAATTCTATCTCACAAGCAACGGACGGCGCTAACTCTGCTGGTTTTTCATTTATCCGCGTTCCACTCGGTGCAACAGACTTTTCTGCAAGGAGTCAGTGGCCTTGACTCATATACAGCAGTTCTTTAACCATTCAGGATAGATTATAGCTATGACGATGTGAGCGGTGATACACCGTTATATGATTTCAACATTGGGGCAGCCCCCAGTTACGTCTTCACCGTTCTTCGTGACATCTTGTCTATCAATAATATGTTAAGGGTTTATGTTTTACCCTGGTCTCCGGTGCGTTCATTGTCGCCGCGCGGTGCCGTCCCTGCGTGAGTTAACCGGTGTTATAGCCAGGGTGGATGAAAGAGAGTGGTACGATGGATGGCGGTTCTCTCAACACCGCATACATATCCGTTAGTGAGTGATGTCCTCGGTGTAGACAGAGGACTCCAACCGACCAATACGATAGTGGCAAACTACCTCCTTAAAAGTCTCCAAGGCTTCCAAAGCGAGGGTATACCCGTTTACGCTATTGGCATACAGGTGTGCACACCCGTTGCGAGGCCAGCGATACAAGGTCTCTGACATCATCCAAAGAACGAGCCTGAAAACAGTAATCCAACGTATCCGACATGTAGTATGCCTGTGTCGACTGAAGCAGATATTGGCATTGCGTTACGGACGTATATGAATGGAAATGGGTTCGGGGACACTAAAATTATTGGATACGAGCATAACTGGGCGGATGCAGCGAATTATCCGGTTCAACTCGTAGGTCTTAACCTGGCGTCGGACGTTCGTGCAACTAATGTCTGCGGTGGTAGATGCAACAGGCTGCCAGTTCGTTTGATGGAGTGTCCTTCCACTGCTATGCGGGCAGCGTCAGTGACCAAGCAGAGTTTACATCCCAGTACCCAAATAAGGTGAATACACGTGTGGTATTTCGACCATTTGACTCACGACCCGCCCCAGGAAGTGTATTTTACGGAGTGTTCTGGAACAATTGGCACTGACTGGTGGACTGATATCAAGGTGTGTGTCATGAACAATGCTCCATGCCTGAATTGACGTATTGTGGAGTGGTACATGGATAACCTGTGCGTAGAAAGTTGATTGCGCATATTCTGACTGACTCGTAGCTTAGCTTCATCGGAAGTCTTGCTTACGGTTCGTCGACTGGTTTGATGTGGAACCTTGCACTCGATGGAAACGGGAATCCGAAGTTGTCGGGTACGAGTAGCTGCAATCCTCCATGCCGCGGCGTGGTGCAAGTAAACAGTAATGGAACTTGGGGCGTCAACCAGGAATTTTACGCCATGAGTCAAGCTTCCAAGGCCATCTTACCGCGGGATGTGGGTGGACCGTGGGGACAGCGGATTGGAGTCAGTGTAGGGGGCGAACTTAATTGGGCATTGGTGGTTGGAGCGTATGTGACGAAAAGAGTTTTGCCAACGGACTGGAATAGGTATAGTATTGTGGTATTGAACTGGTAGGTCGACGGGGCGTGATGGGTATCACCAGAGATCGGGTGCTGAGCTACTCTTCAGGGACGACAGTGCGTCTACTGCGTGGAACCCCCAACCGGTGACTGCTACCATCGAGTTTAGAGGTCTGCAGGTATGTTTTGCAGAGCTTTGTCTGATTGATTATTTGTCGAGATGACTTGATAATAGGCAACTTATACTTTTCCTGTTGGAGTGACTACATTATGGTGGTACGCTTCTGACTAGAGCCACTCGATCAGACAATCTAGTTCACTTAGAATGTGATGTAGTCAGTTAATTTACCGTTCACCTGGAGTGAATAGTCACCGCGACAAGGCCCCAGGGGTGTGCATGCGAGGTGTTCGTGTGAATGGCTGGTTAGCGGGTCAACGCAAACAGACGACAACAGACGCTGGGGTGTCAGAAACAGAAATCACAGAAAACAAGAAAACATAATCGCTTCGAGTGAGTGTCATTAGCATATTATCGTCGACCAGCCCGTTTCCTGACTTTCTGGAGAGAGTCTTTGACAGAATGAACAGACCAGGCAAATTCCTGCCCACTTGGAAGGATACCCGCGCTGACTTACTGTCAGGTCAACCCCCACAACGTCCCCCGAGTCTGGCTCCACCAACTGGCCTATCTTCCCAGTTCAGATCGCCTTACCCAACGTCCCAGTACCCCGTTCCTCAGCGGGGATTTCCAACACCTGCGCTCCAACAGCAACAAAACCCCCACCGCACGCCTGCCGTACCACAATCGCCTTTCTTGCCTACGAGACAACAGGCACAGGTTAACAACTTCCCATTCGGTGCGGGAGCAGGAGGAGTACTAGGTCAGAATGGTGCATCATCGTTGCCACCTCATATGAGTCCCAATCCGCCCGCTGCGACCACCGCAAGCGCTCCATCCGTGTCGTCCGCGAGTGAAGTCGTCTTTGACCCTAACGAGTTTCCTGCGCTCGGATCGTTAAGCCAGTCAAATAACAATACGAACGCGTCGGGAACGACGAATGTCGATTCGACGATGAATAGTTCAGCCCCCGGCTCGTCCACCGGCAATGCACCCGCGTCTAACACGGCCTCTTTCACGCCACCTTCCAGTCAACTACCATCGCAACCCATGCAGACGTCACCACAAGGACAGCAGGCCCACAATAGCAACAGCAATGACAACGCTCCGAATCAGCCGCAGAGCCAGGCACCATCGTTGCAACAGCAGCAGCACCTAGGGGCACCTCCTGGCGTGCCATCCATCGGAGTGCCTCAAAACGTCTCGAACGGTAACCATCACATACAACCAACCCTACATTCACTGTCGCAGCTGCACAGTTCCGTTGCACAGTCCCAAAGTCAACTCCGCCATCATCCGCAAACACCCGCTCAGCAAGTGCTCATATCCGCTGCTGATCGATGGGGTCTCGTCGGGTTACTTGCCATGATCAAAAATAGTGGGGCTGACCCTGATGGCGGTCTGAGCAGCATTGGAACGGATCTTGGTGCAATAGGATTAGACATGGCGTACGAAGGGTGAGTCATCTGACGTGGAAACAACACGAGGGCCTAACGACTGGCTATCTCTCGACCGAAAGGAATCTGTACTCGACGTTCATAACGCCGTGGGCTGATCAGTCTGCGGCACGGAGCGTCAAACCTGATTTCCACCTCCCGCCCTGCTATAATGTACAACCCCCGCCAACAGCGCCGAGCAAAGCAGCAGCGTTCAGTGATGAAACATTATTCTACATGTTTTATTCAAGTCCGAGGGATGCGCCTCAGGAGGTTGCAGCCCAGGAGCTGTGAGTGGTTTTAGTTTTGGTCCTGTTTCATATATCCGATATTGTCTAGGTGGAATCGCAATTGGAGATATCACAAAGACCTGCGGATCTGGATAACCAAGGAAAGCGGTAGTGCTCCGTCGACGAAGATTCCCGGCGGGGAAGTCGGTCTATACACATGGTGGGATCCGGAGTCGTGGTGCAAGGACCGCAAGGAGATGACGGTGCGATACGCCGATCTGGAGGAAAAAACTGCTCCGGCGTTCGCAATGGGTCCCTAGCCTCGTGCTCGCACAACCTCAGGGCGCACAAGGACAGCAGCAAGGGGGGATAGGTCAACAGGCAGCTGCAAGTCAGGCGACTGCTCAGCCAAGAATGCAGATGGCAGGGATGTAGGCTTTTTGTTTTGCGTGATGTGACACTGGTCTCGGTTGAAACGATGACTGCATACCTGAGATATCATCTCATTAGCTTCGGCGAGCTGCACTGTAAGGCTTTAGGAAGCTGGGGATGACTGTATTTGTGCTTTTTTTATTTTATCCTTGACCGCAATGTTTCACGTTCAATCTGACAACACAGTCTCTGATACTCGGACTGGAAGATGGACTCTTAGCCATGCGAATCTTGAGTAACGCATTATGTGGCCAATGCCATAGTCCAAGTTGGCAATGGTGTCTAATTAGGGGCCAGTAAAGCAGTTGCCTATTTCGACATGCCTATGTGCCAGCTGTCACGGTGGAGCACATTTTCGGGCCTCTCACCAGGGCCCAGGTTAGCGCCTACAGCTTGTCGTTGGCGACATTCACCATATCATTATAACCGGCAACCATAGTAGGCCAGTTCCAGGTCTGCGCAAATTCCTGGCGTTGTATACACAAGACTAGTAACGATCCGGTGCTCGTGTAGTGTGTAATTTGTTCGTCTCACTGTCCACCTATCAATTAGGATAGTAACATGTGGTCTCGGTTTGCTTTTCTACGTGGTTGGACATCATATTTCTGGATTCAAGAGACACTTTTCTTTCGAGGATATGTCGTGAGTGGTAGGCTGGTCTGTTATGTACACCTTGAATTGATGAGAGTCGTACGTATACCTTACATCTCTGCTCGTGGCATAAAATTTACAGTAAGACCTCGTACGACAGATACGCTGTTCATCAACGCGTCGGGGCACCTCTCAACAATCGCCGCCTCGATCGTTCGTACTAACCTTGCTCTAGACACATGCCCTGCATTTCATCAGCGCTGTTATCCCGTTCATTGCGCAGGTCATAATCAACCTTGCCACAGTACGTTCGTGGGTCGATTTCCATCACAGCACGCTTGGACGTAAGTCGGGTGGACGACCTTCATTCTAACTACGTGCCGTATTGCTCGCTGACACTCGCCAACAGTGTTACTGTCATACACTGTGACCGGGTCTATCACCCAAATCGTCAAGGTGGCCGTCGGCCGTCCTCGTCCTGGTTCGTGACTATATTTCTGTCACTTTCAATGTGGGCCCTTGAATACGTATTGCCAGATGTAATATCCCGCTGCCAGCCTATCCCCGGATCTGTGGACCCCGTCTATGGACTATCCGCTGTGGATATATGCACGCAGACCGTGAAGTACATCCTCGACGACGGGTGGCGCGGTTTCCCCAGCGGACATTCTAGCTGTACGTGTACTTTCTTTGCCTCTCCGCCGAGAAGTCTAACCCCTGGGACAAAACTACTCAGCGTCATTTGCAGGACTAGGATTTCTTACGTTTTATCTTGCAGGAAAGCTCCACATCTTTGACAAGCGCGGCTACGCTGTAAGTTTGATCCAGCCAGTCTCATCGACGTTAGTGATAAATGTGTGTGGAGGGTAAAATCTGGCTTGTTTTCACTCCGTTGTCTGGGGCCGTATTCGTTGCTATTTCTTGTACCATGGACTACCGTCGTACGTGCCTTGGAATTTCCCTCTTCGCACCTGTTTTAACACTTTCGTCTTAGACCATTGGCACGACGTGGTCATTGGGTCTGCCCTAGGCCTGATCTTATCGTACATTTCGTACAGGCAGTACTACCCAGGCCTCGCGGAGGCTGATGCACACCTGCCTCACATGAAGAGGTTTGAAGAGCTGCTGGATGATGGTGGAGCAGATATTCCTGTCTACAGGGATGCTGAAGTGAACGAGGATGCAGCCTTCAGTTCTGGGGAAGAGACTATTGGACTCCTTGGCAGAGGGTAGAAGGCAGATGTATGACAGTGAACAGGATAGATCAGAATCATGATACCTCCCTCAGGGCAATGGTTACTCATGCCATCTAAGCAATGGGATACCTGGTATATATGTGTACGACATTATGATGAAAATCACGCTGCAATATCAGGCCAACCACCCCCCCTTCGGGGGGGTGGTTTCAAGTCTATGTGCTAGGGAGGTATCGGGGCGGTCTATCTACTTACTACCTCCGTCAGTCGCCCCTCCCCGAAGGTCAGGGCCGTGTACAGTAGGCGTAGCGGTAGGTAAAGGGGAGGGAGGGTAGTGGTTTCAAGCCTGCGAAAGCTCTCGTCAGGGGGCTACCGCTACCCCAACCACCACCTATCCCGAGCCAGTTAGGTAGCTACCAGTAAGACTACCAACGACGGGAGTTGCCCTTACCCCAGAGGGGCGACCGACGAGGCGCGATGCTCGCGGTGCTAAGGGTGACCCGTCCCAGGTCTGGTGTACAAAGCGGGAATAAAGACGAGAGGGGGGGAGGGAAGCTTCCTGCCCCAGCCTTTAAAGGTCAGCGACGTGATGCGCACCCTCAGGTCAGCGACCAGCCCTCAAGTGAGGGTGGTTCTCTTCCGAGAACCTTCTGGGTTTCCTCGCTACCATGTGGTAACCACGCCGGATCCAACCGGCTACGGCGCCTCCGTTGCCATGCCACGCGATGGGCATTCGCCCCATCCTTACGGACGAAGCGACATAGAACTGTCCTCATCCTCAATTACTCCTCCTTTCTCACCTCTGAGTGGCTTGAGTAGATCATGTCAGTAAAGGGTCTATATCAGGTGTAAGATACCCAAAAGCACAGCATACACTTTATTTCACTCACCCCTCATATCGCAGTGCGATCAGGTATACAATGTACACGTATAGCGTGATCAGCAATCCAGCAGGACGTTTGTACTTGTTATCGGCCGACGTCAAATGTCAACGATCCCCATCATACATTCGGCATCGTATTCCCGACGGAAACACGCCGAGAAGGAGAATGCCATGAGGTAAAATATCCACGCACCAGAGCGCAGTAGCAGCAAAGCACAGCGTGCTGCCTACATACATGGGATCTCTGAGCACGTTAAAAGGGAACCCTTCAACACGATCGTTCGTCAATATTCCGAAGTAACCCCCCAAGAACGTCCCTGTGATCTCCAATGCGTACGTTAAAGTCAAGACGAATACTTGGCCGACGATGAAGAGGAGAACCGGTACGAGGGTTGCGAGGGGCTCGGGGAGGAGGGGCACGTGGGGTTGGTCCAACAGTGCGCACTGGTACCTGCGCAAGTCGCCGTAAGCCATGGAATGGAGTTGGAACTCAAGAAAGAACGTACAGGTGGTCCCGAACGAGTCCGAAGGTGAAAATGAGGATGGCGAGGAAGTAGCAGCCATGGTATGGACTGCTAAATGCACGAGTTATAGTTTTCTTCCTATACTCTACGCGTCATATTATGACGGTTAGAGATTCCGAAGCCAACACACAAAGGGTACTACTACGTACAGTTCCGCGCAACCATGTTCCATGCTGTGGAGTTGAACGTGATTGAAAGAAGAGAAATGTAGAGAGACGGTGCGGACGCGTTCACCACGGAAGCAAGGGCGCCCATTTATTGTAGTTGTCGTGAAAATCATAAGAGCCAGTTCGGAAACCGGAAATTCTGCAGAAGTCCTTCGAATTGCAAAACTTACACAAATAAAGAAAGTCGATTAGAGCAATGATTTCAGACTCAGATTGAAGCTCTGTTTGAAAAACAACCTCTCCTTGATTGCTATGGATCTTGACTATTATGATTGTGATCTGGACCATCTTTGGCTTGCCTGGGTTTCTGTTGTGTCTCTTGTAGCTCTTGCAACCCAATATACACTTAACACCCTTTCTTGCCCTATGCCTCCCAAGTCCTCTGGTCCAAAAGCTTCATGGAACCCTGCAGAAGTTGATGTGCTCATCAAATACCTTCATCACCATTGCTTTGAAGCAGGAGACAATGGGAACTTCAAATCCAATCTGTATACCTCTGCTACTGTGAATATGTCTGAATTCCTCACAGAAGGGCTGCCAAAAACTGGAGATATGGTGGAAAATAAGTGGGTCTTGCATGTAAGCAATGTTGTCACTGTAATTGTCCAAGGATGCTGATTGCCTTGATCTTTAGATTTGGAGGATTTATCATGATATCAAGGGATATCATCTCAAGTCTGGGCATCATTGGGACAACACATGTGGGACTGGAGTACAGGGCACATTTGATGAGCAAGTATTTGATGATTGTGTGAAGGTATTTTATCTGTGCAACATATTCATTGATGTTGAACTGATAAATATCTCTGTCCATGTCGACTTTTCCCCAGATTCATCCCTTCAAACAGTCTGGGTGGCAGTACTACAACCTTGTGGCTGACATAATCCCTAACAGTGGTGTGCATGGTACCAACACATTTACTCCAAGTACCTCCCAGATTGCTACCAGTTCTGTGGGCAACAACACCAAAACCCTGCCTGCACTTGATGGAGAACAACAAGAGACTGGTGCCCCTCCCACCCTGGAACCAACTGCTACTGATGGACCCAAACCTCTCCAGGGTGTCTCTGAGTGGTCCAAGTCACTACCCAGGGATGATTTCCCCCCCCTGCCCTCATCCCCTCTGCATCCCATTCTTGGGATGTCTGATGTGCAGTCCAGTGTGGCATCCCAACAGACCCAGCCCTCCCCCAGCATTCCACCATCCAGTTTCAGGAGATCTGACACACAATCCAGCATGTCCACCTCTGCCTCACTATCCAGCTCTGCAAAGCGATCCCATATGATCGTGGAAGGTGACAATGAAGCAACATCTGCATTCCCTTTTGCCAATGCATCCAATATTTCCATCTCCACTCCCAACAAGTGCATGCAACTTTCATTGGCCATGGACTCTGCTAGGAGTTCCCATTCCTGCTGTTCCAACAAAGTGCCTGGTGTGTCAGACCTGATGGTGGCAGGTCTTCAAGGCTCAATCAATTATCTGACATCATTGATCAACATGTCACTGACCTCAGCTGTTGAGCAAGCTTCCACCACACACACACACACACAATCCATTTGATGGGGAAGACAAGGACTTTCCCTGGAATTTATGGGCATTTGTCTGATCTGCAATTGCCCAAAGCCTGGGCTTTGCTGATGTATATCTGATTACCCCCAACAAGGAAGATTGCTTGGAGTATGTTGAGTTTGAGTACCAACTTAAGTTTGGGGTCAGTGGGAGTAAATAGTACTCACATATGTAGCTTCCAACTATGCTTTGTATCCATTGATTGTGGTATTGTCTTATTTTTTTTGCTTCTTAAATGTTGTGTGATGAGGAAAGTAAATGTATAGCAGTAATTGGAGATGCACAACAAAGTAAAAAAACTACTACAAAGACATATTGTCAGTGCTGCTTGCTGAACCACTGTCATCATCCAATGAAGCCATGTTGCCCTCATGAATCATATCCTGATAAGTGTCCCACATTTGTTGCACAATCTGGTCACACAGGGCATGAGCTGCATGCAGCACTTGCACATCAGTACTGTCAGCATCTTCAGTGTCTGACATTGATGCATCCAATCCTCTGCCTCCACCCTCCTGAACCTCATGGTCTTCTCCCACCACAGGACCCTTGTCAGTATTGTGTGTGTGGATAAAATTGTGGATTGCACACAGTGCAGCTGGAATTCAGGCTTGGACTCATATGTTGTATTCAGGACTGAGGAGGAGGATACAAAAATGCCACTTGATCACACTGAAAATGTGCTTGATTACATTTCAAGCAGATGAATGGCATAGGTTGAATAGTTCTTCCTTGTTTCTGGGCCTGCTAAGTTCAGCACAGTAATACTACACATAGAAATGTTGCACACACCTCAATTTTGTATGATGCCACTCAGCAAGGTGGTAGTGGATACCATGGTAGGGAACCAAGAGTTCTGGGCAGTGGGGGAAGCTGGCATCTGCAAGGAAATACTTACCCTCAGGAATAATCAAATCTTTTGAGCATGCATCTTGGTAAATACATGCATCTGTTGCTGAACCCTCCCATCCAGTGATGGCATATATGAACTTGAGTTGGAAGTCACAGGTGAATAGGCAGTTTTGCGAGACGAAGCCTTTGTGATTGCAATAAGGTGCCTGGTCACTTGCTCCCAGCACAGCATGGATATGGCTTCCATCCAGCACACCAATTGCATCCCAAAAGAATGGCCAAAACCTTGTATCCTCTAATTCCAGACTGAACCTCATCCATGGCAGGCATGTGAATGTATGCATCATAGAATGGTGATGAGGAAAAAATGAAAACAAATTTGCAGAAGTATCTGTATGAGCCCAACATCAGTTACAGGAGAACAATTGGTAGACTAAATGGATGTACTGAGAAATCATGTCATTCAAACACTGAAAGTGCTTGCCAACATGCCTGATAGTTAGGCCAGTGATACTCATGTATAGGAAGATTGCCAGCTGTTCTTCAAGTGAAATGAATCAAGAATTTCTGTGGCCCATCTCTTGAAGATGGTCCACAAGAAGTGTGAACACATCAGCATGTATGCCAAGTTCACATTGGATGCGTTCCCAGTGACCAGTAAGAAGTTCAATGACCCAGCCTTCACCAGTAAGGGCTGAAGTATGGTATGGTTCTGGTCTCTTTCTGATTGGAGTGGCTTGTTGAGTGGTAGCACAAATGATGATGCTGATGAGAGACCCATATACTGGATTGTGTGTTGTTGGCAAAGTTCCCCAAAGCCACTATCATCAACAGCCTCATCCATAATGACAATAGGCTGAGGCTGACATGATTCAAACTCAGAGCTGGCAATGATCTAGACAGCCAATCATACACAAACTATCAAGGATGGACTTCTGCAGAATTTCTGGTTTCCAAACTGGCTCTCACAAGGACAGTTTTTGGACCCCATGTAGTCCATTTAGTCACAACATATAGGTAGCCTGCATGCCAAAATGCCAACACTTATATAGACACTGTGATGGGCCTGTCTAAATAGATTAGCCATGACACATGGACAGGCCTGAGGGCCTATAGTGAGAGCAACATATGTATGGGCCCATAAGCACAATTCCACAACATATGGGAGGACCTGTGGAGGGTAAGGATGTTGCAACATATAGACAGGCCTGTGACCAAGTAAGTATGCTGAGCTACTGTAAGACATGGACAGGCCCACCTATTGTATCATGAAGAAGGTTGCAACATATGGATGGGCCTGCCTGTCATATGCTTTATAGGGTCAAACATAAAGAGGGGCCCTTCTATGATAGATTACAGAGTTGGCAACATATGGAAGGGCCCATCTTTGGGATAATATACCCCTGTCACAACATATAGATGGACCTGTCCATAGCAAGATGTATGTCTGTTGCAACATAAGGACAGGCCCATCAGTAATGTCATTGACAGCATCACAACACATAGATTGGCCTGTCTAGTAAGATGCATCCCTGCTGCAACATAAAGATGGGCCCATCAGTAATATCATTTATAGCATCAAAATATATGGATGGGCCCTTCTGTAATATCATTTATACCATCACAGCACATGGGCAGGCCCATTCATAGTAAGATGTACCTGTCACAACATAAAGACAGGCCCTTCAATATATATCATTTACAGGGTCACAACACATGGATGGGCCCATCTAGTAAGATGCACCCCTGCTGCAACATAAAGACAGGCCCATCAGTAATGTGATTTATAGTGTCACAACATATGGATGGGCCCTTCTGTAATACCATTTATACCATCACAACACATGGGTGGGCCTGTCCATAGTAAGATGTACCTGTCACAACATAAAGACAGGCCCTTCAATATATATCATTTACAGGGTCACAACACATGGATGGGCCCATCTAGTAAGATGCACCCATGTCACAACATAAAGACAGGCCAGTCAGTATTATCAATTACATTGTCACAACAGATGGACAGGCCCTTCCATAATACCATTTATACCATCACAACACATGGATGGGCCCATCCATAGTAAGATGTACCTGTTGCAACATAAAGATGGGCCCTTTAATATATATCATTTACAGGGTCACAACACTTGGATGGGCCCATCTAGTAAGATGCACCCATGTCACAACATAAAGACTGGCCAGTCAGTATTATCAATTACATTGTCACAACAGATGGACAGGCCCTTCCATAATACCATTTATACCATCACAACACATGGATGGGCCCTTCAATATATATCATTTACAGGGTCACAACACATGGACAGGCCTGTCTAGTAAGATGCACCCATGTCACAACATAAAGATGGGCCTTTCAGCAAGATCAATTACCTGCCCCTTTTGATGGACTTACACTGAACAGCACACTTTTGAGACAGTAAAGCTATATGTTGCTGCTTATGCCAGGCCTGTCCTTGTGCTGACCACTGTGTCAACTCATGTGTATCCTGTACCCATGGGCATAACCAATGTGGGCACAACAATCCCTGCCAAAGAGTCAAACACAGGGAAACCAAACCTACCATGCATAGGCATAGCCCATGTCCTTGCCATGGCAACCATAACCCTGGTCATAGGGAGAACAATTGCCAGGCAAAGGGGCCCCTGGGTGGATGCCCCAACTCCTTGTCCC